GGCCCGTGCCCTCTTTAGCGCCACAATTTCTTGTAATTGTTGGGAAACACTGCAGCACTTTTTGTTTGCAGCCCCAATTTTATTTTACTATTTAAACGTTGAGTTTCAGGTAGGCTCTCCTCTGCTCTCTGTATGATCTTTATGTGTTGCCATATGCATGCTGTGTGTATGTATACGTGTTTGATTTTTAATCATGCAGCCTTTGTCCTTTGTCCTGATCAGTTTATATGGTTTGCAGTCAGATTTTCTCTGTGACTAGTTAATGGGTGAAAAGATTTTCCTCCGTATAATTTTTAAAATGCCAGCAATGGGGTCTAATCACTTAAGGAATGTAATGAACTTCAGATCCCACTTACAGTCTATCAGCATTTTAGGACACTGAAAGGTGTTTTCTCCACGGACGCAGTGTACCTCCAGTCTTGTGCTCCTGGACAGTGCTGTGGGTTCCGGTCTCCCTTTCCTCGCTGCCTCCTGACGCCTTGCACCTGCCCAGGAGGCCTGACCTGCTGGTGCTGTGGGGCGCAGGAGAGGGGGATTGTGCATTGATGGGGGACCCGCTGGGGCCAGCGTGTTCTGGGAGCTGCAGCATGGCCCCACGGCAGGAGCTGCCCCAGACACGCCCTCCTGCAGCTCACCATCCCTGGGGGACCCGGCCTAGCACTGAGAAGGGGACATGTGACATAATGCTCTGGGGCGGTGACAGTGGGGAGCACAGCAGGGGCGGGGCGCGCCCATGGCAGGGCAGGGCCCGCAGCCAGTCAAAGGCGGCGGGGGGAAATTCTGTCTTTCGGAGTGTATCAGAGACTTGTTGTCCACTTCAGCTGAAGGGCTACCTGTAGTCCGGACAATGAAGGTGTTTCCTAGTCCAGGAAATTAAAGAGGCTTTCTGGAAAGGTGGGCGTGTGTGCCCGGGCACATCCTCAGATTGGGGGGCGGCCCCCAGGCTCAGGTGGTTCGGGGGGTACAGTGGATGTATTTGTGAGTGGTGTGTGCTCACCCCCCTCCCCACCTCCCGTCCTCTTACAGCTGGGCGGGGATGAGAAGGTTCTGGAGAGCTGCTTGAGCCTGGGTGGCCACCGAGCCCCTGTGGTCACTGTGGACTGGAGCACGGCGATGGACTGCGGGACCTGCCTCACTGCCTCCATGGATGGCAAGATCAAGCTGACCACCCTCCTGGCCCATAAAGTCTGACGGGGAGGCCTTGGGGGACTTGCTCGGAAGCAGAACGATCCTGGGCGCAGGGAGAGATGGGACAGGAAGACGGGGCGCTCCCCTTCCGGCTCCCTGCCAGGGCCGGGAATCTTCAGGGAAAGGCTGTCTGGGGGCTCGGTCCTGTGCCCTGACGGAAACGGGAGCCCCGTGGAGTGGTGGCACGAGTGCCCAGAAACCAGCCCCCTGGGCTGTGCCAGAAGCACACTGCAGACAGCAGGGGGGTGGCCACTCTGCCGGCCCAGGAGAGATGGACAGTATTTTGTATATATTTGCTCAGTTTCCTTCTTTTTCCAATGCTTTCGCGGTTACCTGGTGTGTTTCTGCAATGCGTGCGCAGCAGAGCGCCTCCCTTCACCCTGCGCCCGTGAAGGTCAGCTGTGAGCCCGAGTCTCCCCTGCGCCCCGCCCCCCCCCCCCCCAGCTTCCTCCAACTGTGGGCGGAGCCCCGCCCCTCGCTTTCTGGCTGCTCTGCTGTGGGAAGATGCCCACTCTTCCTTTCCTCTGGCTAACTAAGGTTTGTGCTGTCCCTATTCCTTTGAGCCAAAGGCAAGGAGGCCATAGCATTCCTTCTGTCCCCTGAGAGCTGGTAGCTTCTGTTACAGGAGCTTCTCTGACGCGGGCGGGCTCTGAGTCTTCCGCTCCTGGCTGCCCCTCTCCACCTGGTGGCTGCGGTTTCCCGGTACCTCTGCCACTGGTCCTCTGTCAACTTCACCTCCTCGAGGTTGAACGGAGCCCGCTGCTGGCGCCCTCTGCTGGTGAGTGGCCAGCCGACTGGATCAAGTTGGCCAAGTTCATCCCCTTGTGTCCCCAACCCTGCAGGTGGCCTGCTTTCTGCTCCCTGGCAGGGGTGGGACCTTGACTAGTCAGACGCTCTCACAGCGGGACGAAGAATGAGGGAATGGCTCCCCTTCTCCCACTCTCATTTCCCTCTGAGGCAGGGAGGCACAGTCGGCTGCTAATCCCATGGTGGGATTTCAGGCCTGCGCCTCAGGCTCCAGCACTTGACAGGGGCAGCCCCGTTGCCCCGCTGCGAGGAATGGTTATTGTAGAGCCTCTTTGGGCTGCAGCCCAGTCGCAGAGTGTCGGTCTGGAGCGGGGTACTCCCGGGTCCCTGCTTTTGGAAAACCATGAATGAATTGGCACAAAGCCTTGGCTCCGTTCTGCTGGGAGTTCGAGGGGGAAAGTGGGGAAGTGGCTCAATTATGAGAAAACACCAGAGACTTAATATAAGTACTTACACATTTCTACCGATTCCTACCCTGCTAATACTCCCTTGGAAGGAAGAGGACCAAGGCTTCTGCATTTAGAATTTTTCCACCTTCTGCATGAAAACAGCAGCCTCACTTACCTCACTCAGTGACCCTGCCGGCCAGTTGAAACGTGGTCGTGTGTTTCATTCAAGTGAGAGAACTCCTTGTTTAACTTTTCTCCCAAGTATTTTGTCAGTTTCTGTCTTATCACCCATTCTCTCTTCTCAATACCGTCCCCAAGGCTTGCTGAACCGTTTTTAAGGATGGCGGAGAAACAACACTTAAAGGCTGCATCTTCTCTCATTTCCTTTCTGCTCTGGGCTGGACACCCACCCCCCTCTTGCCCTGAGCTGGGTTCATGGCTGGATGTGACCGAGGCTCCACCAGGAAGGGTGGTGGAGGGTTCCACAACACTGCCTAAAATCACCACACCAAACCACAACATTGCCCTACAACAGAACCAACACACCATTAACCTCTGACCTTCGAAGTCAGTCAATACGGTATTGTGTGCTGCAGGCAAACCCATTGCCTCCTGGCCTGTGTCTCCCCAATCTTCTCTCTGTCCCGAGTGCTCTCTTCCTGGTGGTCGCCCGTCCCACCCAGACCTCTCCAGGACAACCTATTGTCCTGCAATAAAGCACGGCAAAACTCAGACTTACCTCTCCTCCACAGTACCTGCTCATCATCTCCCCCAGAACCCAGCAAGACTCTTTCATTATCTTGGGCAAAGGCAGATAAAAGAAGCCATCAAGCTAGTCCCACCTCAGGCCCTGGAGCCAGCTTGGCCAGCGCAGATGTGGGCCTGGCTGTGCTGAGGGCCTCGGGGGGCGTCCCCCTCCCTGTCCTGGGACCTGCCTGTGCCTGCCTGCTTCCGCTCCAAGGTCTCAGGCTCCCTGAGCGCACATTCAGAACACTTCAGGAGTTGACTCCAATGCATCCGAGTCCCACAGCGCAGGTGCATCCCTACTTGGGCTTCTCGCTTCCACACGGAAAGCCTCTTGTGCAGACGCACAGGTTTCGAGCTCTTCGGGCCTCCTTTCTCAGCTGGCTGCAGGAAGAGGTTTTAAGGGGACAAATAAGGAGGGACTGGTACTACTAATCATAACACGTAACAATGCATCTCCTCTTCCGATGAGAGTTGGGTTTGTCCTGGCTCACAACTTGTCACAGCAGAAGACCCCAGAGGTCGGTGGCTCTGGGACATTCATGGAAACAGGAAAGGCCATCCCTGCCCCTGTGGGTTGCTCTCCAGAGGCTGGAGGCAGGGCCAAGGTTTAAACCAACGCTGGGCAGGTTGGTTTTGCAACTTGATTTGTGTCCTTAAGCCTTGATTGATTTACTCTCCCAGCCTGCCTCCCTAGGATTGAAACAAATATTCTGGAAGAGAGGTGAAGGTGGTTTGGAGAAACCACAGGCACCACACAGGTGGAAGGGAGAGTCCTGGTTCCAGAGGCAGGCCGGTCCCCAAACTCTGGATCAAGCTCCCCTATTGTGAGTCTCTTGTACAGCTGATTTGTTGTAAATCACATTTCAAATGGCTGTCGTGATAATTTTGCATTTTGGGGGACAGTTTGTCCATTCTGATCATTCTTTTGCCTCAAACGCAGTAGGGGAAGGTCCACCGGTGACTGTCTGTGCTTGTGTTTTGAGTCATCTGCGACCCCCTGCCCTCTCTTAGGCTGCTTTAAGCCAAGAGTGTGATTTTCATTAAAGCTAGCTGCTAACTGCACGTGTAATGTGCAGTGCTCAGTGTCAGGCTGAAAGCAAACCAGTGAGGACACCTGGGCAGCTCCGTAAGGCCCGCTTTGTTTACACAGGGAACACCTTGACTGCCAATTTGAATAGTAAATATTAGCAAGACACCTACTTTCTTTACTTTAAGATCAGCGCAAACAGTGGCTTGCATTTCTCCTCCGGCACTCTCGAGACTCACCTGACACCCCTCCCTCTCCCTAACTTCTGAGTCAGAGGCCCCAGGAATCCGACTTGGACAAAGACCAACGAGCAAAACTCAGATGGAGCAACATCTGGGGACAGTTGAAAGGAAACATATTCTGTTCAATAAAAAATTTCCATGACACGTTAAAGAGCGGTAGGGCAAACCTTATTCCAGGAGAGCAGGACTACAGTGCGGTTTTTGTAGAGGGGGAGAGACTGTGCTCAACTCCTAAAGCAATAGAGAGCAGTGGGGATTAACAGGCAAGGAGCAGGCTGGGGGTCAGTGGATGGAAAATGAGTAAGAGGAAATGTCAAGGGTAAGGGGGGACTCTGGCTAAACCAGCCTAGCAGGAGTCTTACCAAAATTGGACGATGTGGAGATGAACACGGAAGTCCAAAAGTCAAGGGCCAGAGGAGAAAGTTCAGAGTTTGGTTCAAGAGAGACTGTCAGGACCCAGGACAGCGGGGGTCGGTTTTTCGCTTCCGCCCGCCGGGAGGCTGCGGATGAGGCGAGCTGCCTGCAGGGGGCGCGCTCGGGCCTCCGCGCGAGCTGGCAGCCGGGGCCGGAAGTGCGGAAACAAACACTGAAGCCCCGCACGCGCCGGAAGCCAAGCAGTGGGCGCCAGCCCGGGAGGCAGGACCTCGCATAGAGGCGCTTGCCGTCCAGGACTGGACTCTGCCTGGAGGCTGGCGGCGGCCCAGTCCCACCCGGAGCTCTGAGGCGGCGGCGGGCGGCCTCCCGCGGGTCGGGAGTAAGCGATCGGGGCGGTTCCCGTCGCCAGCGAGGCCCGTGTGGAAGTCCCTGCGTCTCCCGGCCTCCGCGCCCTGCAGGTTGGCTCGTCTGGTCGCTGCCAGGGCGACACAGAGTCCCCCTAGGACAGAGCGAGCTCGCAGTCGGGAGTGCTGGGCACATCACTGGCTTCCCGAATTTTCCCACCTCGCCCAGCGCGGCCTCTGTGCTTCTGGGGTTTGTAGTCAGCAAGACCTGGTGACGAGACCTGGCTGCAGCTTCCAACTTTTTCGTGACCTTGTGGAAATCGCCAAGTCTCAGTTCCCGGTGTGTAAAATGGGCTAAGTGGTATCTGCCTCGGGTCGAATAAATGTGCACATTCACCGATGGTCGTGCCTGTGCCTACCGTTAGCAATGCTCGCAGCCCTGGGGGTGACTCATCACTGCCTGAATTTTGACAGACGTGAGTCCATGGGCAAAGGGCTGCCCTCTGTGGGGCAGCTTAGGATGATGGCCGGTTCATTTTTTTTCTTAAGTTGTACACAGCCATTCTAGATGAACAATAAATGATCAAGTTGTGATCCAGAGAGGAATCTCTTCTTTTTGGCTGAATACCCGTTCTAGGTAAACCTGTGCTCCCTGGAGACCCACCTGTAGGGGAGCCCGGAGCTGCTATTGGAGCTGACTGCTAGGCGGAAGGTAGAGACCTTCCTTGAGTCACAGGGTGGGGCACAGGGGCTGAGGTGGGACCGGGCCGGGTAGGCAGACAGGTCACGTGAGAGGAGAGGCTGGCTGGCTGGGCCCTTCTGGGTTCCACATCCAGAAGCCAGGCACAGTTGTCCCTGATCCTTACTGCTGGTTAGAAAATGACCAGTTAAAAACCTTTGGATTAAGGGATGTCGGCCAATGAAATTTTATTGTGAATTAAATGGCCTCAGGTTTCTTGTAAGCACGCAGAGAGAGAGAAAATAAGAGCTCGAGAGAGAGATCATTGAAATTAGGGGTAGGGTAGATGGGGCATCCTGGACACAGGGAGCATCTGGGGTAGGGAGGTGAAGGAGGGCGTGGCCTCCTTCCTTCCTGGGGGTGGGGTGTCCATCCCTCCTGTTCCACCGGAAGCATTTCTACTGGGCCTGCCTGCCTGGACCCAGGGCCCTGCGGCAGGTCAAAGGGCTGCTTTTCTCCCCCGGGCCCTTCAGCCTGCCCACTACCACGCCTCCTTGGCTGCCCTGCGAATGGTCTGTCTGAGTCTCCCGGGCCCTGCTCACCAACTGCCCTGACCAGTAGTTGTGGCTGATGATTAGAATTCACAGGACTTTGTTCTTCTTTGTAGGAATGAAAGGTTGACTCCCAGGACAAACAGGCCTACAGTCCCTGGTGTGATGAGAATGTGGGATTTGCTGTCCTGAATTAGAAAAGCAAGGCAGTAACCGTGGGCCCTGACTCTGCTCACCAGTGATGAGAGAGATGGAAGCCTTAAATTCTGGGGATAAAAAGAGGGTCCTTCCCACCTGGATGACAGCCCAGGCGCCTGAGCGGAGGATGAGGCTGGGGAAGACCCCGAAGAGGAGGAAAATGGCCGTGGTGGCTGCAGCGAGGTGGGACGACTTGGGGCCAGGGTCCTCCTGGGGAATCAGGAGGAGGGGGAGGGACTTGGTGACGTCACGCCTTCTGGGGCTGGGTCCTCCGGTGTTGGCAGAACAGTGAGGTGGGCGGGCTCTTCAGTCCTCCTCTCTTCAGCTCTTACGAAGCACCCGGGCTGCGTTAGGGGGGCTTTGTGAGCTCTCTCCACACAGACAGACAGACGCCTCTGCCTCCTGGTGAATGTCCACCATCAGGCCCCTCAGCTCCCAGGCGTGGCTCCCGCTCTCAGGGTTACACACATCAGCCAAGCTGTCAAATATCAGTCATCTAAAATGCCCCTCCCTTCATGTGCAACAATAATGGTGACCAGTGGGCAGGATGAGTGGGCCGGGCTGTCCAGCCTTCCTGTGTACAGATCTCCTGCCACAGTAAGCCACCAGGCCAGCGTGAAGTCAGAGGCTGGGGGCGGGCTAGTCAGGCTGCCAGTGAGGGTTTGTCCCTGAACTCCCCTGACAGGGCACTGGGTGCTCAGTGCAGCTCGCCTGGCTTTTCCTTTGTAAGAGTTCTTTAAAAAACAAACAAACAAACAAACAAAAAAACAACCCCTTTTAATCCTTGCCTGAGGATATGTGTATTGATTTGAAGAGAAACATTGATTGGTTGCCTCCTGTACCTGCCCCTAGCAGGAATCGAACCGCAGCCCTTTCGTGTATGGGATGGCACTCCCACCAACTGAGCCAGCCGCCCAGGGCTCAGTGGACCAGCCGCCCTCTCTGATTGTCACAGCCTCCCATGCCGTGCTCGTGCTTTCAGCTGGGCGTCAGGCAGGCCTCGGCCTGATGGTCCGTTTACTGCTCACACCTAGGGTGTGTGTGTCAGTTTAGCTCCCAGGAGTGGCCATCATGCCCTATTTCCAGACGCCCTGGGCCTTTGGCAGAGGGTGGGAGACACCCCCGTTGTCTCCATGACCCCCTGTGCCAGTCAGTGGTCACAAGGATGGAAGTCTTGCTGGTGCCTTGAGGAAGCCGCCGCTCTCATCCCCAGCGGGAAGGCCCAGGGATGTGGCTCTCTTGCTCTCCTCCGTCCTCGCGAGGCCTAAGGGCCGTCTGTCCCCGTGGGCAGCGCCATGCCTTTCTTTCAGACCTCCTGCAGTGAAGACCGCGTACTGCATGAATGAGGCCGAACTTGTGGACGTGGCTCTGGGGGTCCTGATCCAGGTAGAGTCAGCTGGGTCTGTTCTTACTCTTCTGACCGCACGCTCACCAGCCGAAGCTCACCCTCGGTTAATGTCATTGCATCAGACGCCCTGCGTTCTCGGGCAGCCCTCTCCCCTGTCCGCCCTTCCCCCACCTGCCCCTTGTCTCACGAATCTCCTGGCCTCCCCCACCCCCTGGGATCTGTGCACCGGGGAGGGGTGCCCCCTTCTGTGTGGGGGTGGCTCTTTGTGCCGGGGTGAATACAGGGGGGACAGGAAGTCTTTCACTGCTGCTGCTCTCTGAAGGGTCTCAGTGGGGCGAGGTGACTCCGGCTCCGGCCCTGCCGGGCAGAGCAGCGCTGCGGTCCCCTGGCTTCCTGGAGTGAATACGCATCCCAGCACCCGAGAGCTGGGCAGCACTGTGTCATTGACTGGGCGTTTTAACACGTTACGGTCTCATTTAATCCTTGCAATAACCTGGTGATACAGGTTTTTCGGATACTGTTATTCCCATGTTACAGACAAAGAGTGGAGGCTCAGGGACTTTCCCTTAGTTACACGGCTGTGCGTGAAGGAGCATAGGCCACACTCACGCTCTGTATCCTGTGCTCCTTTCATTGTACCCCGCCCTCCCAGACAAGCTTTTCCTATTTATTTTTCTTTTCTACTAGGTATTCCTTAGGCCCTGTCTCCTTCTTTCCCAAGTTGGCCTTGATTTCTTCAAGAGCTGTGGAGAGGTGGTGTTGGAGGGCGGTGCGGGCGGGGGGAAGGGAGGTACAGCGGCCACTGATTCGGGAGAAGTCACGTGCTGGCCGCTGGACGTGGTTTACACAACTGACCGGGGAAATAAATCATATGTCTTGCCTTCAGAGCCGAAAACAGGAAAAGGCCTTGGAGCAGCCGCCTCTGGCAGGCACTGATAAACCAGCGCTGTCCCCCACCTGCCCGGAGCCACCCAGTTCTGGGAGCGGGAGTAAGGCCGAGGACCATGGGAGAGGTGCCCTTCCCTCAGGCCCCAGCCCTCCTGGGGGACCCCCAGGCTCTGGCTCTGCCTGCAGCAGGAGCCCCGAGGAAGAGGAGGAGGACGCGTTCAAGTACGTCAGAGAGATATTCTTCAGCTGAAGGACGGATTCCAGCACTTTGTGTCCAGAACAGTTCGAGGAAGCGGGGCTTTGGCTCCCTGCCAGGGGCAGCTCCCAGCTCCACGCCCTTGGAGCGGAGAAGCAGGGGGTGGGGGGGCCTGGAGCCGGGAGCCGCCGCCATCAGCATTCCCGTCTGCACCGCGTCCCCTCCCCGCTCGGGGGTCAACCATCTGACGTGGTCAGTTACCGGGTGCCGGGGACAGTGAGGTCGTGGTGGTCGAACTTCGTGGCATCCAAGAATCGTGCTAATAATTTTCAAACAAAATAAAGTGTGGCTGCTAGAGTAAATGCACGGGAACTCTCCGGTTTGGTCAGCGCCGTCTCCCCTAAGGGGGGAGCCTGATCTGAAAAGCTTCCCTCCCCAGGCAACCCGTCACTCCTTGGGCCCTCCCTCATCGCCCCAGACAGGCAGGCCCCTGCTGGCAGGCAGGCCTCCTCCCCTGAGCTGCCTGCCCCCTTCCTTCTGCTTGGTGGCCTCGGCCTTGATCCCTGGACACTCTTACGGTGGGACAGGACCCCAAAGGAGACACTAAAGACGAGAGATTGTGGCAGGGCCCATATTGTCTCTATTCAGTGTGGTATATGACAGATGTAGAAGGAGGTGACCAATGACTGTGTAGGTTTTCCAATATACAGGCACCAAAAAATACACAAAATTCCCATCGCCCAGGTTGTCCTTGGACCCTTTCCAGGTCCGGGTTGAGTAGTGAAGGGGCGCAGCATCTGAGGAAATGTTCAGTCCCGTTCGCCTTCCCCCTGCCCGGGGTTTGGCATGTTCTGCACCTGAACACCCAGGTCCCCCGGGTCAGGAGTGACCAGCCAGCCGACCCTCCTGCAACGTCTGGCTGCGGGTCCAGGGAAGCTGCAAGCCACGTGGGTTGTCTGCAGTGACTCGCTCAGATCCCTCCCGCGCCTCTGGGAGTGGTGTCATGGGGTCGGGGGTGGGGGGAGCTTGCTACCCAGGGCCCTGAGGACCCTGCGGTGCTCTCTGTCACTGTACCCCATTTGTTGCCATAAACCTTCCCTGGGTTTCCGTGTGGCCTGTGACAGACCAGCCTGGAAACCTGGCCCCGTGACAGGAGCCCTTCTCCCCCCACCATCCTGAGAATCAAGGAAGAATGGCCTGCTTGAACCGGTTAAACAAAGTAAAAATTCCTGTGACAGTGTGCGGCATAGTGTTAGTGATCCTGAAAGACAGGCAGCCCAACAGTGAGAGGCCTCGGGTGTGGCTGCCCTTGCTGCCCAGCCTCTGGACTCTGTCGCTGGGGTTTGCTGGAGCTTGAGGTCAGCAGTAGCTATGAGACGGCGTGGCTGAGAAAACGGACCAACCCAGGAGTCCCCCGGCACCTTCTCTGAGCATCGTTCAGACCGAGCCCTTGCGATCAAGCATGTGAGCCTTCCGGCAGGACTAGCACCTCTCCAGCTTGCTCAGCCCGGTGCCCTCTCCCTTCTGAGGGAACACGACTGTGGCCATCAGCAAGAGGATGAGCGAGGCCTGGGCAAGGACCAGAGCTAGACACCCGGGCCCCAGGAGGGGCAGGCTGACCCACTTCCAGGTGCAGGTGAGGAAGAGGCCCAGGCCACTGGCGAGCAGGGTGGAGGCCACCACCAGGAACCACACCGCCAGCTGCCACTCTCCCTGGTTACTGTTGCAGCGGGCCAGCAGGAGGGTCTGGGAGACGAAGAGGATGAGGACCGGGGCCGCGTACACGCAGACCCTGGCCAGGGCCAGCCCAGCCTGGGGCACACCCAGGGTCGCCAGCTCGGGGGACGTGTAGCACTGCAGGGAGCCGGCCGTCTCGTTCCACAGGCAGAAGTTGAAGAAGCCGATCCGCAGGTTGGGCAGGTCGATGAGGTTGCCGGACTCCAGGATGAGAGCGTAGAACAGCAGGTAGAAGGTCGTGACCACGAGGACCATGATGCCGAGGAACAGCAGCCGCTCAGCCCACCTTGACCTTGGGCCGAACATCTTCTCTTGTCCTTGGCAGGGCCGCCCTCCTGGCAACCTGCGGGAAAGTCACATGAGTGAGGGCCCAGCTCTCCCTACTGCTCTTCACAAGCTCACGCTCTCCCTTCTGGAATTCCATAAAGGCCTGGGGCAAACCCCCGTCCTCACGCCCTCCCCCACACCCTGCCCGAGAAATCTGAGGCAGCCTGGCGCCAGCACCCAGTCAGCAGGCGCCTCTCTGGGCTGAGTTCAGGAGGACAAGCTCTCCCAGGCGGCTTTGAGAACCTGGGAGGTGCAGCGTGGACACCGCGGGCCACTGGAGACATTTGTGACGGGGTTTCTCAGACCCTGCAGAGGGTGGGTTTGCCTGGGGTGAGGGACAAGGCCATTGCTGAAGGCAGAGACAGATGCTGAGGGTCCCGGGCACCCATGGGACCACCTTGGAGCTGTAAGAGTGGCCATCACTGGGCTGTAAACCCGTCAAACCAGAACTTCTGGGGTTGAGGCAGGCACTGACGTGCTCTGGAAGCCCCGCAGCCCGTTCTGAGGTGAGCAGGGTTGAGGGCCCTCTGCGGAGACCACCGGAGCTTGCCTGCCTGGGGGCCCCTCGCGGGGCTGAGACGAGATGCCGCCCGCTGATGGAATCCAATCTACAGTCACTTTTCCCTGACAACAGTAATAACATGTGTTGATTATAAAAAAATCTTGGAAAATATGTTTTAAAGGAAAAAATATATTAAAAAGCTTTCCCTCCACCACATATGGAGAACCACTGTTAATCTACCAATATTGTGCCTCTGTATTTTTAAATAATAATACCACTGAAAAGAATGCCTTTCTCACTAGAAACTGTGATCACTTTTCAAAGCTGTTAAATGTTCTTCAGAAACATGGTCAATGGCCCTGGCTGGTGTGGCTCAGTGGATCGAGCGCTGGCCTGTGAGCCAAAGGGTTGCTGGTTAGATTCCCAGTCAGGGCACATGCCTGGGTTACGGGCCAGGTCCCCAGTAGGGGTGCACAAGAGGCAACCACACATTGATGTTTCTCTCCCTCTCTTCCTCCCTTCCCCTCTGCCAAAAAAGAAATAAAATAAATTCTTCAAACAAACAAACAAACTATGGTCAATGGTTGTGTAATAGTTCCTGTCACAGACTTACCCATTACACTATTATTGGACAAATTGTTTCCATTTTTCGCCATTACAATTGGTAGTCAAGGAAAGTGCTAGTTATCTCACAGTGCAATTACTGATTCAGGGAGAGAAATATTAATACTCTTTGGTGACTCTATGGCATATTGCCAGACTGGTCTCCAGAAAGCCTGCTCACTGTGGTATATACCGCCTGTATCTCCCTCACCATTTCTAAAGGATCGTGTCACTACCTCTGTAATCCGAAGGACTTCTCCCAGCTGGCATTTAAAACAGCAGTCGGCACACCCCGTACTTGTACACTTTGCACCACGGAACCCAATCAGGGTTTGCACGCTGCAGTGCCTAGGAGCCCAGGGCTGGGGCCGGAACGCCGTGGGGTGTCCTGTCAGTCACCCAGCCAGGAGTGCCAGGTGGCGTCCAGCAGTGAGGTGAATGGCGGCCATTGGTGGCCCTGGGGGGAGGCCCCAAGACGCGGGAGACCAACTTCTGAAGGGACCTCGTAGGAGGAATGATTCCCTCTTTCTTCCCGGGGCTGATGGGGTGTGTCTGACCACACCCCACATCTGTTCCGCGGGAACAGAAAGGGACCAAATGGGAAAAGGACGCGATTGAGGCGACGGGGCGTGGGACAGGTCGGGGAGAGGGCGGCGTCCTAGTCCACAGGGCTGCCATCACAGAATACCCTCCACTGGGCCCCTTATGAAAAACAGAAATGTAGCCCGGGCTGCGTGGCGAGGCTGGAGCATTTTCCGTGCCCCGGAGGGCTGTGGGTTTGATTCCCGACCAGGGCACATACCTACTTTGTGGGTGCAGTCCCCTGTTGGGGCACGTATAGGAGACGACACATTGATCTTTCTCTCTCTCTCTCTCTGCCCGCGCCCCCCGCCCGCCGGCCTTCCTCTCTCAGGTGAGGATTAAAAACAAACAAACAACAAACAAACCAGAAATGTATTCCTCACAGTTCTAGAGTCTGGATGTCCAAGATCAAGGTGCCAGCAGATTCACGGTCTGGCGCAGCCCGATTCCCGGTTCAGGGAGGTCACCTTCTCTGGTGTCCTCACACGGCCGAAGGGGCCTGCGAGCTCTCCGAAGCCTTTTTATAGGAAACGTAGTCCCATCCCAGAGGGCTCCACCCTCATGATCTCATCACCTCCCAAAGGCCCCTCCTCTCAACAGACGAGTCTGGAGCAGAGCCTGGGAGACACAAACTTTCAGTCTCTGGCAGGTGGCTCCTTTTAAAGGACCCGAGTGAATGCAAATCCCAAGAGGCGAGATTTATCAGTGGCCCAGGGATGTTTCCTGGGGTGAGGCAGGTGCCTATTAGGACAGAAACAGAAACCTGTGTACAGCCAGGGCTTGAATCCTCGCTGCCAGCCCCTGACCCCGGGCTTCTGGTTGTGGAATCCCCTCTGGGGAGCTTGGAGAGTGGGGGCCTCTGCCAGAGGCCCTGGGAGCTGCCCCTGTAAGCACTAATCCTCCGAGTCTTTGGAGGCCTGAGTCAGTGAAAACCCGAGAGGCCGAGGCCCAGCTGAAGGGGGTTGGTTGGGCGATTGCTGGGGCTAGGATGCTCGTGACAGAAAGATTCGACAGAAATGGAAATGGCGTCTTGAATCCTCAGTTTATTAGACTGGTGCGATGAGAAGTTTTAAGCAGTTCAGGCCTGGTAGGGGCAAAACGCCCAACAGGGACACATTCTGCATATGTCACAAATGTTTGTATGAGCCTCTACCTGCATTTTTCAGCGGAGCTGAGTGTTGCAGGGTGGGAAGTGGACTTCCAGGACCAGATGCCCCGTTCTTGTGCTGTAGGGAGTGAGGTTTGGCTCGGCCTCATGTGCAGAAAGAACAGGTTGGGAGCTGCCTTTGCAAACGCTCCTTTGTAGTCCTCCTATATCAAGGCTGTACATTTGGGTTCAAAAAAAAGCATCACGAAGCATTTTTTACTTGAAAACAGGCCTCAGTTGGACAGACGTCTCGGAAGACTGCGTCAGCCGCTGTCCACCGCAGGGCAGGCCTTTGTTTCCAGCTTCCTCTTTTGCTCTCAGCTGACCTCTTGCAGGTTCTCCACGGAGTGGAACAAAATACAAGTGGGGATGGGGAGCCCCTGGTCAGCCGCGGGAGAAGGCGGCTCTTTCTGCCTCTCTATGCACTTGAGTCTGAGGCTTGGCGCCCGGGGCTCATTCTTAGCTGCCCTGCCCCCACCAGTGAAAAGAAGCATGTGTTTCTCCATTTTGCCTTTGACCTAATCCTGGAGATTTCTTTGCCTCGCCTCCTCCCGCCCCCTTCTCTACCACAGTGAACTTCATGGACCCTCCTTGCTTCTCTTCTTTTGATTCTTAAGTTATAAAATAAGCTGCAGAACCGCCGTTCTCCCGAGGATTTGAGATTTTGTTTTCTGGCACATGTTGTCGCTTTGGCTCAAATAAACCCATGAAAATGCTCTACAAATTCGAACGTTTCTTATAGCAACATCTTCCACCAGCAGTTTGGGAGAATGCTGGTCTCAAATCCTCCTCCCCGGGGCCGGACACTCTCAAGTCTCTCATCTGTGACGATGACAAAAGACACACCATTGTCACGGTGTGTCTTCCAGGAGCAAAGCTCAACCTTCCCCAGTGTTTACTGACCACCCACAGTTTTTCTCGTATAAAGTGCTCTCAGCTCCTTTGTGGTTTTATTTTTTATTATCGTTTCTAGTTTTTGTTTCTCAGTCCGTAGGGTCCCCTTTATAAATAAGGCGGTGATCCTCTTGCTGCCATGTCCGTTGTGACAAAGCACAGCCCATCTGCTGTGCAAGGGCTCCTGGTGCAAGACTTGAATTCAGACTCCAGATCAGGGAGAATGTCCAGGCTTGCCTGTTGTCGCTTCAGAGTCCCAGTTCGGGACGCAGAAGGAAAGTACTCTCAGACTCTTCGTTTGAGGATGCTTGTGTGTTCGTTTGTTGGTTTGTTAAGTTTAAGCATCTCTAAAATTTTCACACTGATGGGACGGTCACTTGAAAGGGACGCAAATGCCGCCCGTTCGGAGTTTTGGTCTTGTCAGTTTCATATGAGCAGAGTGGGCGTCCAGGGGGCTGTGTCTGGGGGAGGAGGAACATTCTGGCACACTGGCGTGGGAAACGCCCCCCTGCCTGTCTCCTGTGCTGGGTGTCCGGGCCCTAGGCTGTCCAGGCCCGGAGCCCCCCGGGACCCCCACAGGCAGCAACGCTGGGCTGCATCCCGGCCTCTCTCCGAGTAGGAAGTCTCGCCTGGAGTATAGGGGACACTCGGGAAGGGCTGAGTGAGCAGGAAGGTCCTGCCTGGCTGGTCACACTCGCTGATTTACTGAAGATGCCGAAGTGCCGCCTGCTCTCTCTCGGGGCGCAGAATCCAGTGGACTTTCCGAACTGTCTGCGTGTCTGTTCCTGTTCATGGGGAAAGGCGTGGGGCCCCGATGTCTGTCTCCCAAGAAGGCTCCGTACCCTTTCCTCACATGCTACTCATTGCAAACTCGTGATCAAATATCGATCACACACTTACAACTTCTAACTTGTCACTGCTCTGAGGCCTGACATTTTCATCTTATCCCAATATTTGACATCCTCACAACACCCTCTTCTCCTCTGCTTTGTCTTACACAAAAGCAACCCCTCAAAAAAAACCTGTTTGTTTTTTTTTAAATTTCATTCTTCCTGCCTGAACACATGATGACATCCAGCAATCCAGCTTTATTTAGAGCTTGGTTTATTTCGTCTCTGGTCAGTTACCGGACTTCCCACCCAAGCGGCCAGGTTGCAGACGATGCCCCAGAGGCCAGCCTCGTAAAGCATGCCCACACAGCCTTTTTTCTTCAATCCTCACCCAAAGGTTTTTTTCAGAGAGAGAGGAAGGGGAGCGAGAGAGAGAGAGAGAGAGAGAGAGGGAGGGA